ATATATAAATAATTAATAATAATATAATAATAATAAAAGAAATAAGTTAATTAAAAATATTAATTATCTAAATTAATAATTAGAAAATATATAGTAATTATTTATATAATAATATATATAAATTTAAATTAATTAAATATATAATAATTATTTATATATTTAGAGTAAAATTAATTTTTATAGAAAGTAATATAAAAGATAAATATAATATAAATAGTATAAAATAAAGATTTAAATTAAATAAATATAATCTAAATAAAATTATTATAAATTAAATCATTATAAAATGATGTAATTATAAAATTTTTTATTATAATTACTTATTAATTAGAAAATATAAAAAGAATAACTATAAAAAATATTATTATAAAGAAATATAATTATATAAAGATCTTTTATATATTATTTTAAATATATTAATATTATCAATATGTTATAAATATAATTTTTTATAATTTTTAATAATATATATTTAGAAAAATCTAATTATTATTTAAGAATATTAAATATATAAAAATATTCAACTTATAAATTATAATTTTAATATTAAACTTTTATTTATTAGAAATTTAATATATTAAATAGTTAAAGAACTAAAATTTTAATTAAAAATATTATATATTTTAAAAATAAATTATAAATTTAACTTAAATTTTAAAAATCAAAAAATAAAATATATTTATTAAATTAAATTTATTAAATTTATATATTTACTTTTAATAAAAAATAAAAAATAATTCTTTTTTAAAATTTATATTAAAATTTTTTTATATATAGAATAAAAAAAATTATATACCAAACTAGTAATATTTAATATTATATTATAATTAAATAAGCTTTTAGATAATTAACTAATAAACTTTTTATAATACAAAATTTTATAAATATATGCAAAATTATATGCTAAACATTTTTATTTAGGTATTAAAAGAAGATTATCTTAATAAACTCTTAAGTTCTTAATAATTTCTCAGTTTTTTATTTTGTATAATGAAAATATTCAAGATTAATAATCTCAAAAATATATTTATATTATGATTTGATTAGATAAAAATATTATAATATTAAATATTAATAATATAATTTATCAAAATATAGAATAATATATATTTTTTATTTTTATATCTCTTTATAAGAATATAATAAATTATTTATAAAAATAATTTTTAAAAAATAAAGTTTTATTATAAAATGTATTAATATTTCTTTATTTATAAAAATATAATTATAAATTTTTATAAAAATTTACTTTTTTATTTTTAATTATTTAATATAAAAATATAATTATATTTTATATTATATATTTTTATTAAAAAATTTATCAATTATTTTTTTAAATTTTATATATAATTTTTATATATTAAAAATTAAATAAAGAAAAAATATATTTATAATTAGTAATAATAAATTCTAATTATATAAATTATAATAATTTGATATAATTATATAATTAATTTACTTATCTTTAATTTTATCATATAATTGCTTATAATAAAAATTTGGTATGCAATGCATTGCATAAGAAATTATTTAATGCTTAAAAAAGTAGCAGATGATGATTTGTGATATTGACAGCTCAACAAGTGAATGTGATATAAGCTAGTATATTTAATGAATGATTTAATTTTAGCAGGATGGAATTAAATGCATTTTATTTCTTTATGTTAAGAAGGATTCATATAATCAATTGGCTTAGTATACATTTGCCAAGAGATAAAATATTGGAAATATCAAGGATTTTATTCTATGAATTAATTTAATAAATAAGCTCAACATTATATAGTGTATATCAAAAGTATTTCCTCCTATCCTAGGTCAACAAGAAGATAAGATAAATAAAAAATCTTTTTTTTATTTAAAATCTCTGATTTCATATAACAAAATTAGTATATGATATAATCACACTCAGCCTCAATTAAGTCTGCAAATGAAAAATACTCCTATACATGAATCTTCAGAGAATGCTTCACAGAATGGCTTATTTTTCTTCTTTCAGAAAACTGCCAAGTCTGTTTTATGTCTTGATTTAGATAAAAGATACTTTCATCTGAAAAATCATCTTGTTCTAGTCAAAGTTCCTATATTTTTTCATCTATTCCAGCCATTTTTGCTGATATTTCTCTGTAAGAAGGTATATCAAAAGATTACTCATGTATTTGCCTTTCTCTTCATGAAGATAATATTATATAGTGCATATACTAATGTCAACATTCTGCTTAATTATCTTCTTTTGAATTTCTAGAGCCATTATATTAATTTTTTTTGCAAGCTTCACTATCTGCTTGTCTTGTCATTAGATGATCAATCTTTGTTGGCCTGTCTTTGGTTTGTCACTCAAGTCTTGATTTTCTCCCCACCTTTTGACCCAATAATGGACTGTTTTTTCATCATAGTGAACTGTTTTAGCTATCTCATGTATTGACAGCTTGTGATCTTTTGGGTGGATGTGCAAAAAGATGATTTCATATCATTGACTTTTTAAAGGTGTTTTTTTAGATCTTTTTTCAAGTATAATGGAGCTTTCATTTTTATTAATGTATAATCCCCTAAAATGCAGGTGTGATCTATATTTGGGCTATACTACATGCATGCAAAATTATAGTGTCATGCATGTGATTGTTTGGAAATTACAGGGGAGGGGATACTTTTGACGGGCACTGTATGTATTAACTTGAATATTAAAATGATAATGAAAAGACTTATTAATACAAATAATATTGTCAAACTAAGGATGTTAATGGAGTACTTCAGTTTATATTAAAACATATGAGCAGCGCCGGAGTGAGTTATATGTTTTAATCTAAACTGGAGCACTCCATTAAAAACCCTAGTCAAAACATACAATATTTATTGAAGTTATTATTTAAATAAGTATATATTAAGCATATACGTAATACATATTTAAATATGAATTTATAATGATATAAAATGTACAAATATAAACTGATCCCGATATTATATACTGTATATGTACAAGCACCGTAAACCGCAAAATAATGCACAGTTACGCGTTATTTCGAGTACGCTCATGTGCGTTATTTCAAATAAAAATCGATTTTCTGAACTTGCGATTTTCAAAATAACGTCCATGTGCGGCATATAAGATTATACATGTATAGGTTTTTCTTCCGACCACATATTTCTATATAATGGCAAGATATTACATGTATATAAAACATAACGAGAAATAGCAATATGATATAGAATACAAGTTTTTGATCATTTACAGTATACATAAACTAAAATACGAATATGATCTATATGGTTCATTTCTATTTCAGTGCAATGTATGTGCATGTGTCATACATTCACTGTTAGATGCGCGTTATTTCGGGACGTCCATGGGCATTATTTCGAGACTATGTATGCTATTTTTAGAAGATATGATTTTTGAAATAACCCCTCATGCTCGCTATTTCGCGGTTTTACGGTATTACTTTGTCAATCTAATACATGCATTTTGAAATTAGATGTTTTTCCAATTTAAAATAAATAGATAATTCTTTTTGAAAATTAATTTTTAATATAAGCCTTTAGCTGAGCTGACTTTAACTATAGGTGGCTGGACGGCTTGAAAATAAATTATAGCTGAGATAAGCCGGCTGGAGAAAAGTGGTTGACTTCGAATACTACTCTGGAGTTGATGTGCCTAGAGCACTTTCTGGAGAATAGTGTGTGTTGATGCAATACAAAATACATTCAATATAACAAAAATATCAGTTTTTTATGCTATAATTGTCGAATATAACATTAGTTCGATATTTTTAAGTACTAATACAAATGTATGAGCATTAAACTTGTAGATGAAAAAATTATTATTGAGAATTTTTATAATATGAAGGCTTTAATTTATCTCAAAGCTATATCGGATATATATTTACATAATAAATGACTCAAACTCATGGCATTTGTCTATTATCTTCAAAAGAGTAGTGTAGATCACAAATAGGTAAACTTAAAAAGCGTGAGCTATTCATCAACTTATATCTAGAGATGTTAAAAAGCTGAAGATCACATGATTAATTATACACGTTGAGAGATAAAGGGAACTTTATAAGTTTTTTAAGAAGAATTTTAAGTGACCCTATACTGATACCATAATTTTGTTCGCTATAAAGAATTGTAAAAACTATAAAACGTTGTATCTTAGAGAGGTTCCGTTATTTAATAAAGTGTGAACGTATATACATGTACATGTTACTTTTGTGTCATCGGTAACAAATAACATCGTGTCACATGATAAACGGGTCTTGGACTCGAGTCACCGAATCATAATCGAAATTCGACTTTTAAAGTCAAGTTGAACAAGACCTGACTTTTAACTTTTAACATCTCTAACCAAGTACGATTCAAGACCGTATCCGTATTTTATCTTGTAAAATATGCTAATTATTAGGATTATATGACTGTTATGCACATTTTGAACAAGTGATAGAAATTATTTCATATTTTCATATTCAAATTCAATTCAATTGATAATATTAATGTAAATTATACAAATAAAGGTACAAGCTATGTGATTTTCCCAAGAATTTGCTAGATTTAAATTTCAATTTATCTACGCTTGGTTGTGTAGATCGGGGGTATTTATAGAGCGTAAACATCAAAGCCATCATGGTTCCTTGGGATCATCTTTATTCTTGTGGTCATTTTCTTTCTTTTTAGCTGAAAAAAGAAAAAAAATCAATCAAAATGCTAGAAATAAAAAATTAACAACGTAAATAATAAGCATTTACTTGGACAAGTAATAATCGTTTTGAGAGTAGTGGTCGTGATAATTTTCGTAGTCGTTTTTGTAATTGTAGAATTACTAATAGTTGTTGTTTTTAGAATTGTTGTAGAATTTACAACAGTTGTCGGAACCGTTTTCGTAATGGTCGTAGAATTTGTAACAGTTGTCGGTTTTAGGAGTGTTGTAGTTGTCGGAACTGTTTTTGTAATAGTTGTAGAATTTGCAATAGTTGTCGTTTTCGTAATGGTCGTAGAATTGGCAACGGTTGTCGTTTTTGTAATTGTTGTAGAATTTATAACAGTTGTTGGAACTATTTTTATGACTGTGGTCGTGACCGTTTTTGCCTTATCTTCACCGTCGCGTTTTTTAAGTGAATCTCTTTTATCTAATAATTATTTAATAGTCTCTAACGTTAATAGGAAACTTCAGTTACACACAATGCGACAACACAGCTCACCATTTTTCGCGCCGAAAGTGGCAACGATCAATACCGCGAAGATTAGAAAGGCAACAAATGAAGATTTCTTGTAATAGAAAGTCATTTTGAGACGATTAAAAGAAAAATTCTCGTTTTTTTGAGAAAATTTTTTAGGATTGCAATCTGAAACTGCAAGCTTTTATAATATTCTTCCAATAATCTCAAATTATCATATCTTTAATATAATTCCTAATGACCGTGATAGAGTTAGAATAAAAGTTACCTTTTGTGATTTTACGCATTTATTCAAGTAAACACAATATCAGACAGAGGCTTTACTATGAATTTTACCAGAATAATCAATGAATTGAACACAAATTCTCCATGGACTTTTCGATAATTCACTAAAACTCCGATATTTAGACTAAAAAAATGTCGGGAAGTTCTTATTTCTTTGATTTCCGCTTTGAGTTACACTGTTCCATTACTTTATCTCGAAATCGCGGCTAAAAACAACGATAAAGGTAGAATGTGGCGAGACAATATTTAGCTTTAAAAGGAAGTTATCATTATAATTCTTTATTGGAAAATGGTGCAGTTCGAGCAAAATAGTAATATGTATAAGATGGTGATGAATGAATACTTATTTGCTGTTTTGCGCGCACATCTTGAAAACAACAAATTTGACAACTTCAAAATGAATCAATGATATATTGTAATACTGAGATTAAAATAATAGGAAAGCAGATGAATTAATACACGTGCATGTATTTATTGGTTTATATGATCTCTGTTGTTTGAATTCATTTTTCATTGTTGTGTTACCTCTCAAAAATAAGGTTTAGATTTGGCTGATTTAAGTTGAATTTCATTAATGTGTTACCTCGAAATTATGTTTAGAGTTAGCGGACCTAGACCAAATGATGCATTTAAAAAAGAAGTTACTATCATATCTATATTTCTGATTTGGATTAAATACTGTGATGTATGTTTATAATTAGTCATGCATTTTGATCATTCAAAAAAGAATACTTATTTGTCTATTGTATACATGCGTATGCTTTTCTTAAATATAGTTTTTAAAAGATGTGAACAAATTATAAGAATCACAAAATAATGATATAGCGCATACTCGTAAATATTAAAAATGCAATAATTTAATTGCCGGAATATGGTTTTGCAAATAGTTGATATGAACAGCTAAATTTTATTCGCTCTTAAAAAACCGGTAGTCAAAATATTAAACATCCTTTCGGAAAAATTTGAACGCGTAAAATATGCTTATTGTAAACAAGATAATGACGTATATTAATATCGAACATACATATGCATATAACAATACTATTTATATGTACATGTATACGTGTAGATGCACATGTACCTACACAAAAGAAATTTCTGCGTCATTTTCGATTTGCTCGAGATTATCTGTCCTCTTTTCTTAAATGAATCTGGTTTACAATAAAAAAGAAACGAAGCACAGGTTTTAATTCTTGGAAAAGAACAAGTTAATTCTGGAAATTACTATCTCTATATAAATTTTTCAATCAAAAATATGTACATGTAGATTTATTAACTAAACTTTATTAAGGTTGATATCAATATACATAATATTAACAAAAGTTTGTAATTTCTCATTACAAATTGTTAATATAATATGGAATCTTCTAAATGATCATTATTATTATTACCATTATCATCGATTATTTATTTTTAGTTGGACTATTATTGTAATTCATGTCAACATAATAAGAGCAGCTCGAATCTATCGATAAAAAACTTAATTGTAAACACAACATCTTATATTTTAAAAGAACCCATGCTATTCCATTTTAGAAATTCGTTTATGTAATTTTTAAACATGAATAACGTCATATTTAAAAATTGATTCTTTTTTAACAATCAATACTTGTAGTGATTAAAAAATATGCAAAAATTTAGATCTACGTAGTGCTCCGAACCAGTCGAATCAACCTGGGTTATTTAACCCGACACGAGTTTTAAATCGGAGTCAGGATTATTTACAACTCCTAATTTAATCTAATCCGACGAATCAGAGCCATATCTTTGTTCGACCCGGGTGATCGTTTGGATAATCGGTGACTTAAATTCTATGAATATACTTTGTTTTACGTTGCGTGACTTTGATTTTCAACTTTATTTGTAATGAGTAAAACTACCAATTCTGATTGTATAATTCTTACAAAACGAAAACTTCACGTAGTTTGCGTAGCTAACTTTTTACTAAAAATTTTTTTTGAAGAGAAAGATCTTCCATAAGAACATAAAAAACTGATCGAGAAGTTAATTGTTTCAACGGTTTATAAATATCTTTAAAGAAGTTAAATATATATATATTAAATAATAATATCTCTTAAAATTCTAAAACTGAGGATTCAAATGCGCGTCATCTAGAGCATCCTCATCTCATATAAAGCAAAAACCCAGATCAAAATACACGTATACTAAACGATTTTATAAGTATCCCATATAAAGTATAATTTAATATAACACTTCATAATAATTTTTTATTATTATTATTATCATATTTAATATTTGTATCAGTATTTTCAAGTTTACACAAGTTGATTTTACAAATGGATACATGTAATTGTTGATGATTCCAATAGAACGAGTGGAACTGATTTTGATAGCAGTCTTAAAACAGATACAATTTGTGCATGTAAATATTTGAAATCCTGGTGGCATAAAGTATAGAAAGAAAATATAAATTAATATCCATAAATAAAATCAATTAAATTTTTTATACTCATTTAAATTATTATTGTTTTTATATTTTATTATTTTTAGCAAAATTCGAATTAAACTATAATCATGTTGGGTCAAATTCGGGTTATATAACTACTAACCCAAGTATTATTATATTTTAATTTTATACTCGGGTCGAATTCGAATGTGTCCAATACCCGACCCGTTCGATCCTTGGACTAACAGCTAAATGTGAATAATGTATATAAATAAAAATTAGACAAAATCAATAAATTACAACTATTATTTGATTTCCTTGATAAACTAATGATTAAAAATAATAAATCCTCATTCTCTTGTGTTCCTTTAAATCGGAATCTGTTTTTGTATCACCAAAGGAAAATAATAACGATAAGAAATTAAAAATACCAATGAAAAAATATCAAATGCAAATTTACCTCATGTGGAACTAGCAAACTGATTGTAAGCCCTATTCATTCTATGTAATATTAATTAGTATGAAATGTTATTTGATAATAATAGAAGAGCTGTATTACTGAAAATGTAAAATATTCGCTTTCTAATGCTCATAAATAATAGAGTGATAAATTCCAAATTTCTTTAACGATTGATCTGATTTCTGGAATAGATTCCAATAATAAATTTGCATCATCGAGAATATTATTTGCTCGTATTCCTTTACAAATATCTAATAAAAGATCATTCGCCAGTTACAATTTCGTACACAATTATTCCGAAGCTATAAATATCTGCAGTTTCGGTGTATTATTTTTCATTTAACGCCCCTGAACTCATATAAGGAAGTACCGTTACACCTATCCGATCTATTGGATTTCAAAGAGGGGCAGGCTTAACAGGTTTGTGAGAAATTTAGACTATGGTTATTTTGACCTTGGAGGGTTGCTTTATGGTATTCTAAAGGTTTCTGTGCCAGTAACTACAGTTACTGTGGACGGCAAAGGTAAGTTTATTGATTATAACGAGTGGAGAAGGGGATGACAACGACTAATAACAATTGATTATTTAATTATATACTAATGTTTAAAGTTACGGAGCAAAATTTTTCAGGGTCACAGGATGAATGATCGAATATATCTCTTTACGGCTAGGCTTATACTACGAAGGAATTAACGCAACGATGGCTTTCTTCCGGTAAAGCGCAGAAATTCATTAATGTAAGCAACAAGAGGTAATTCTCCTTTTAATTACCTTGTTCTTTTATTATAACTTGTCTTGGTTAAAGGCTATATCTATGTTGGATAAATATCCAGACTATACTTATGAATAATTCTATTTACACAGCGATCTAATAATGAAAAAACACCATACAAACCACTATACACACCCCTACAATATATTACCGGAAATCCTAAAAACGAATCTGCCACTTTGAAATCCAATATCTCAAAATTC